CAAAACAATAAACTACAGATCTTGCTGGCTTATGAATATGGATATAAATTTACTAAAAAGCAGGCACCATGAGTGAAGGGATTTTTTTGTCTCTTGGGTTCACTGCTATAGCTAGATCAGTATGCAGCACATAAGAGGCACTTATTATCTGTTGAATGAATAACTGAAATACTATCAAAGTAAATTTAACAATAAAACAAAGAATAATTCACCAAGACCATGCAGGGTTTATGCTGGAGCGAAAAATGTATCTCCGAGCCCAGACAGAACGCTACTTGTGCACACATTGTAGGCACTTACATGTTTGTTTACTGAACTGATTTAATCCAATAATTTAATAACATAATTTGGGTTATATATATATACAAATCATCTCAACTGACAATTATGTAAAAGGCCTTTGTCCCTGATTCCTGGGAGGTAACCTCTAAATCCTTGGAATTTTTCAAGTGATGGAAGTACCTTGGTTATTCACAGTGGGCCCCTTGGACCATACCTGATAGTTTACGCCAATGAGGTGACTGCAGATGGGGTAGCCATGCCAGAAAGACCAACCATGTGATTAGAGGGTTGAGGCTCTGAGGCACATTGTATCAGCCTGACCTCTGGGAAGGGGTGGGGAGGGAACAAAGGCTGAAGACTAAGTTGGCCACTTGATCAATTACTCAATCAGTTATACCTACATAATAAGTCCCCAATAAAAATTATGGATACCAAAGCTTGGGTGAGCATCCCTGATCGACACTAGTCTGTCAACTTTGCTACCCATCATGGCAGAATGGGTACCATATCCCTGAGGATGATGAAAACTTCCTGTTTTAAATCCTCTCACACTACGCATCACTTCTAATTTGTATAATAATATACTCTTAATATTACAAAACTGTAATTGTAAGCATAACACCTTCCTGAGTTCTGGGAGTGAATTATCAAACATGCAGGAATGAGTGGGGGACCCTCAAAACTGTAGCCCGGGGGTCAGAAGTTAGGGTAGCATTGGGGACTCCCAAAGTGAGGCTGGTGTCTGAAGTGAGGACAGTCTTGTGAAGGACTGTACCTTTAACCACTGAGTTTGGCCAATTCCTATTGTGAAAAAGCATTCCACAAAAATTAACATTTGTTCCTGATTTGTGTTACCTTAAATGCCAATCTCTTCTGAAATTACAGGAATATAAAAATATGTCCCTTATATACTAAAGAGTAAGTGAACACACATCATACTAATGAAGACATTCTGAATCAAGACCAAAACAAGGATGACCATTCTTACTGTTATCACCTAAACGCTGCTCTGAAAATGTTGACTAATTCAATAATAGTAAATGAAATGCATGAAAAATGAGACCAGATTTTCATTATTTGCCAAAAACACGGTTGTATAATAAGAAAATCTGAGAGGAGCACTGAAAAACTATTCAAATTAATGACAGTTTAATAAAGAGGCCGGTTATAACAATTTTAAACATAAATAGCCTTCAAATGTAACAGCACTAACCAGTTGAAATTTATAAAATAAAAAGTATCATATCTGCAGCAGCAACAAAAAAAAACACATAAATATTTTACTTTAATGTAGAAGTACCCAGTGTCCATTGATGGAGGAATATTTAAATGAAATATGGGATTCTTACTTACCCTTCAAAAGGAAGGAAATACATGTGCTACATATGGATGAACCTTGAAAACATTATGCTAAGTGAAATAAGCCAGGCTCAAGAGGACAAATACTGCAATGTTCTACTTACATGAGGGACCGAGACTACTCTAGGTAGTCACAGAGGAACTGTGAAAGTAGAGTTCAGACAGAAAGTAGAATGGTTGCCCGGAGCCCAAGAGGTGAGGAACTGGGGAATTATTGTTCTATGTCTCAGTTTGGAAAGATGAAAAAAGTTCTGGAGATGGACGGCAGTGATGGTTGCCTAACAATGTAAATGGACTTAATGCCACCGACTGTATATGTAAAAACGGTGAAGATGGTAAAGTATATGTTATATATATTTTACTGGATTAAAAAATCTTCCTAAAAAACCTTAGGAAGGGGCGCCTGGGTGGCTCAGTCGGTTAAGTGGCCGACTTCGGCTCAGGTCACGATCTCGCGGTATGTGAGTTCGAGCCCCGTGTCGGGCTCTGTGCTGACTGCTCAGAGCCTGGAGCCCGTTTCAGATTCTGTGTCTCCCTCTCTCTGACCCTCCCCCGTTCATGCTCTGTCTCTCTCTGTCTCAAAAATAAATAAACGTTAAAAAAAAATAAATTAAAAAAACTTTAGGAAGATCTAAGAACTAAAAATCCTACAAAGCTTTAATAAATAGAGATGTAACAGAAGACTTGATTAAAAGGTGAAATATATCAATTTTCTCCCCATTCCCCCTAAATATATCAAAATCTTCATGGGAAGGGGGAAGTTACAGTCTAATTCCAAATTAGTTTTTCGTTTTGATTAGGATAAAATAATTCTAAATTATTTGGAAAAAGTAAGCAAGTAAAAACATCTGAGAAATGCTGAAAAGGAATACTATTCAATGTTACTACATATTAAACAACAATAATAATTAAAGAAATGTGGTACAGATACGAGAATAACCAGATAAGCTGATGGGGCAGAATATGTAGTTTAGAAATAGACCATGGCATATACGAAAATTAATATATATATAATTTAAATTCTTCAATAACTAACATGTGGAAAAACATTTACAAGTTCATTTTTACAAGCAACCAAAAAAATGCAAACTATATGAGTAACACACAATTTTTTTTGTACATTCAATTAGGTAACATTTTTTAAAATTATAATAATGATAGATTGTGCTAAGACAGGCACTCTCATCCACTACTTTCCAAAAAGAAGTGTGCCCCCAGCAATTTCATTTTATGTACTAAAAGCCTTAAAATGTTTACATTCTTCAATCTCTTAATTCTATTTCAGAGAATAAATTCTAAGGAAATAATATAAAATATGGAAAATTTTGTTCATGATGGCATTATTAATAGGGATAAAAACCCAGGAATAATCTAAATGTTCATAATATGGAAACAGTTATTTAAATTATGATACTTTTATATAATGGAATACTAAGTAGCTATAAAAAGTATTTATGGTAAATCCATATGAGAGACTCACATAGACATGAAAATGATCATTTTAAATGACAGTGTATTCATATGGTGGAATATTATGCAGCCATTAAAATGACAGCTATTTATTTACAATTAAATAAAATTAAAATTCAGTTCCTTAGTCACACTAACCACATTGCGAGTACTCACAAAAACCACACATGACTAACAGCTACTGCACTGGGTAGTGAGACATAGAACACTTCTAGCATCATCGAAATTCTATTGGACAGCATTGTCACAACTTTAGAAAACTGAACTTACAGATCTATAAATTCATAGATTTATCTTTCCCACTATAAGTTAATTCAAAAAAACTGACACAGATAAAATAAAAATCACCCCAAATCCTTCCACCCTAACCCAACCTTCACCTACTCTGTTCTAATTCATGTCTAAAAAAGACATGTCTAAAAAAGCATGTCTAAAAAAGCAAAAAGCTTAGGTATAACCATAGTATATACATGGTCCCCTTTCAGAAAGTATTCCTGGTAGGCAGTGGACGTATAGTGCTAAAGAGAATGTGCTGGGTCCCTGAATGTAGAAGAGAAACGTCAACATCAGGTAGTTGTGGAATACAGAAATTAAAATAGAGGGGCGCCTGGGTGGCTCAGTCGGTTAAGCGTCTGACTTCAGCTCAGGTCATGATCTCCGTGAGTACTGACAGTTCAGACCCTGGAGCCTGCTTCGGATTCTGTGTCTTCCTCTCTCTCTCTCTCTGCCCCTCCCCTGCTCATGCTCTCTCTCTGTCTCAAAAATAAATAAAAACATTAAAAAATAAAAATAAATAAAAATAAAAAGAAATTCAAATAGATTCCTGGGGAATGGTAGGACTATTTAGAAGGTACATGGGGCACCTGCGTGGCTCAGTTGGTTGAGCGTCCGAGAACATGATCTCGAGGTTCGTGGGTTCTAGCCCTACGTCGGGCTTGGTGCTGACAGCTCGGAGCCTGAAGCCTGCCTGAGATTCTGTCTCCTTCTCTCTCTGCCCTCCCCCCTTGCACTCGTCTCTCCCAAAAATGAATAAGCATTAAAAAAAAAAAAAATTAGGGGCACCTGGGTGGCTCAGTTAGTTAAGCGTCCGACTTCGGCTCAGGTCACGATCTCGCGGTATGTGAGTTCGAGCCCCGCGTCAGGCTCTGTGCTGACAGCTCAGAGCCTGGAGCCCATTTCAGATTCTGTGTCTCCCCCTCTCTCTGCCCCTCCCCTGTTCATGCTCTGTCTCTCTGTCTCAAAAATAAATAAACGTTTAAAAAAATTAAAAAAAAATTAGAAGGTACAGATAGGGCTGCCCTCTCTATGAAAGTTCCATCTGAGTTCAGATCCTAAAGATGAGAAAAAAGATAGCCTTCAAACAGAATGCAGAGTTCTGTCTGAAGCACAGAAAAAGGGCCAGTATGCCTACAGCAAGCAAGGAGGAGAGCAGTAAGACACGACCTCTAAGAAGTCAGCAGGGAACAGACCACGTAGGGCACTGAAGCCGTGGTGAGGAGTCTGGATTTTTACTCCAAGGGCAATGAGAAATCTCTCAAGAGTTTTAGCCAGGAAAATGACATGATATGAATTCTACTGTAAAAGATTTGTCTAGTTGCTGTAAAAATAATGGTTGGTAGAAAGAAGGCTCAGAGTAGACATTAGTCAGTGGTCTAGGCAAAGTAATGCTAGCGTCATGGACTATGATGACAAAAAAAAAAAAATCCAGAGGTCCATTTTGGACAGGATTAGGTTCAAGATACCTGTTAAATCTCTATACAGAAATGCCTAAAAGCAGGCAGTTGGATTTATAAGTCTGAAGTTCAGCAGAGAGATCTGGCCGGGAGATATAAATTTGAGAATCACCAGTTGATCAGCTATTTTAAAGCAATGGGGCTTGACAAGAGTACCTAGAGAAGAGAATCCAGGATCAATCTTGAGGTAATCCAATATTCAAAGGTCACACAGAAGAAAAGATTGAAAAGGCCTGGCCAGCAAGACGGGTAGAAAGAAATTCAAGAGAAGAGAGTTAGACAATCATGTTTGCTCTCTGTGAGCTAATAAATCGAAGATGATCCCCAAATGGTGTACATTCCTTCATTTCTTGGTACTTTAAACTCTTGAAGGAAGGGTAAAACTAAGAACAGTAAGGTCTGCATTATTTAATAGCAAAAGCAGCAAAAAAACAAAACAAAACAAAAAAACCTGTCATAATTTATTCCACCCCTCCAATTACCTTGCATGAGGTAAAGCAGTAGCAGCCAAACAAAGATTCTTAAAGAGGTAACCTGAATCCACCAATTGCTGAACAACGGGAAAAAGACAACTCGAACAAGCCCCTTTCGAGTCAGAGATGTCCATGGAATTTCAGGTTTGGCTTTGGCAAATGTTGAGCCTTTAAATATACAATAAAACAAAACATCAAACATTTACATATACTATAGTAATGCTTCCTCGTAACACTATATTAAAAACAGCAGAGAGTAAAAATCAACACATAACCAGTTCAGTTAAAAAGAATCCTCTCGGGGCGCCTGGGTGGCTCAGTCGGTTGAGCGTCCGACTTCGGTTCAGGTCATGATCTCACGGTCTGTGAGTTCAAGCCCTGCGTCGGGCTCTGTGCTGACAGCTCAGAGCCTGGAGCCTGCTTCAGATTCTGTGTCTCCCTCTCTCTCTTCCCCTCCCCTGCTCATGCTCTGTCTGTCTCTGTCTCAAAAATAAATAAAAACATTTAAAAAAATAATAATAAAAAAAAAATAAAAAGAATCCTCTCAGATGTTCATTAAATATAACTCCTTACCTCAATCACTAGGACAGGAGCTCAAAATAAATCAGGCTTACATGAATGTTATACAGTATATTTTTCTCAATTACACAACAGCAATTTCCAAGTTCATCCCTTTTTTACCCTTATGGACACCATGTAATTTATATAGCTACACAGTACCAAAGCAAAGGGGAAAAAATCCTAAGGCCTGAATGAGGGAAGAATATTCCTTTTGGAGATTAAAGTACCATCATAAAGGGAAGATAATATCTAGCACCACTATGAAATAATATAATAATATACATAAGAAATGAGCCAAAGTTGGAACTCACCTCTGATTAAGTCCACATCAATCAAGTCTGGTTTTATGTGACCCATCTTTTTTGGTTTGTTTTTGAAGCCCTAGAATAAAACAAAACAAAACCAGAGATAAGGCTAAAAAGCTCTTTTAAATACAAAAGGTAAACTCACATTTTTTTTTCTTTATATCTGACTCCCTTTTGACGGGGACACTTTAATCCTAATGTTCCTCAAAAGAACTTATCATTAATGTTTTAGTTTTTAGTTTATCAAGTAATGCAAAAAATATACTTTTACTACTTTTTAAAATGATCCAACAATAGGGCCACCTGGCTGGCTCAGGCGTACAGCATGTGACTCTTAATCTTGAGGTCGCAAGTTCAAGCCCCACATTGGGTGTGGAGCCTAGTAATGGTTAAAAAAAAAGAAGAAGAAATTTTTTTTAAATAAATAAAAAAAAAAAATCCAAAAATGCCAAAGGATCAGTAAGTACAAAATAGCAGCCCCCTCATTACCCCCCGCCCCTCCTCTCATCAAAAACAAATAACTTTCATCCTTTTTTTTTTTTTTAACTTTCTCTTGGTATTTACTTCCATACTTCTAAATAATATGTTTATACTGCCATTATTTCATTTATTGATTTGAAAAATATTTTACCAATTCCTAATACAGCATGTAAGAATTTAGTTCTCTTATACAGCTAATCCTCACATCCTAACTTCCACCCCTGAAACATATATCCTTACAATATAGTTATATTCATTTTTGATAAATCAGCAATCAATAGTTATAATATGATCATCATGAAATACTATTCCCTGTAAGCCATATTTTATATTTTTATTCATGGTCGGTTAAAATATTTATCATTTTCAAATACTCAAATGCCAGAAAATTAATCAAAGTCTTTTATTTCTTAAAAAAAATTTTTTTTTTTTTGGAAAGACCCTTCCCAGAACCTTCTATCTTCATGTTGTAATCAGATTAGTTGCTCTCCAGGCCTGCTGCACAGCTGACTGTAATGCAGGACTTCTCACTCTCACTGACAACCCCCTTCACCTCTGCGGTGAATCTCTAGCTCCTACACCTGTCTTCCTGAAGCATATCCTTCACATGCTTCCTGAGAAAGGGGTGACAGAAGATAACTTTTTTAATCCTTACATGTCTGAAAATGAATTCAGTCTACCCTTATGCCTAATTAAAGGTTACACTAGGTGTAGAATTCAAAGTTGTTAACAATTTTCCTTCAGGAATTAAGATATTGTTCTGTTTTCTAGCTTCCAATGTTGCTGTTGCAAACTCTGATTCCTGATCCTTTGAGCATGAATTGTTTCTTTCCTCTGAATCTCCACTTTAATTCATGGTGTTCAGAAATTTCAGAATGATGTGCCTTGATAGGAGTCTTTTACATCTATTGTGCTGAAAATCCCTTCTATACGGAAATCAATGTCTTTCAGCTTTAAGGAAGTTTTCCTATAATTTATTTTCGTATTTCTTCCCTCTAAGACTTAACTTTCTCTTCTATTTTCTACCTCTTTTGTCTTTTTATTCTGCTTTCCAGAAATTTCCTCAAATTTCTCTTAAATTTTTCATTTTGACTCTTTGGGTTCATTCCTTTCTATTCTCTTTTACTTTGGGGATTTAGTCAAATATCTAATAAACACTGGCTGTTTCCTTATATACTAGAATGAGGTGCTGAAAACCTGATGGACTAAGTATTCTACTTCAAGGTTTATACCCAAGACAAATGTGTATGTATTTCACCAAATAATGTGTATAAAATGTTCATAGAAGAATTATTTGTAAGAGCCCCAAATTGGAAACTACCCATCAACACTCATATGTTGCCCATCAATAGCAGAATGGGTAATTGTAGTGTTGTGCTAAATAAACTATAATTATACAACGACATGAATGAATCTCACAAACATAACACTGAACAGAACACATTAGATTAAAAAATGTATGTACTGTATAATTTCATTTATATAAAGTTCAAAAAGGTAAAGTTAATCTATAGCACTAGCAGTTGGGATACTGGTCTACCTCTGCTGGTAGCAGTGACTGGAACAGTATGTGAGGGAAGCTTCTATGGTACTGCTAATTATCCATCTCTTGATCTTAGCGCTTGTTGCACAGTTATGTTCAGTTTGTGGAAATTCCTCAATCTGTACATTGAAAATTCTGTTATATACATATAAGTATATCCATATTTCCTGAACACGTTTTACTTCAACAGAAATTTTTTTTTTAATATAATTTATTGTCAAGTTAGCTAATATACGGTGTATACAGTGTGCTCTTGGCTTTGGGAATAGATTCCCATGATTCATTGCTTACATACAACACCCAGTGCTCATCCCAACAAGTGCCCTCCTCAATGCCCATCAACCGTTTTCCCCTCTCCCCAGCACCCCCAATCAACCCTTAGTTTGTTCTCTTATGTTCTCTTTGTTCTCTTATAAGAGTCTCTTGTGATTTGCCTCCCTCTCTGTTTGAAACTATTTTTTCCCCTTCCCTTCCCCCATGGTCTTCTGTTAAGTTTCTCCAGTTCCACATGAGTGAAAATATATGATATCTTTCTCTGCCTGATTTATTTCACTTAGCATAATACCCTCCAGTTCCATCCACATTTCTGCAAATGGCAAGATTTCATTCTTTCTCATTGCCATGTAGTATTCCACTATATATATAAACCACATCTTCTTTATCCATTCCTCAGCTGATGGACATTTAGGCTCTTTCCATAATTTGGCTATTGTTGACAGTGCTGCTGTAAACATTAGGGTACATGTGCCCCTATGAATCAGCACTCCTGTATCCTTTGGATAAATTCCTAGTACTGCTATTGTTGGGTCATAAGGTAGTTCTATTTTTAATTCTTTGAGGAACCTCCATTCTGTTTTCCAGAGCAGTTGCACCAGTTTGCATTCCCACCAACAGTGCAAGAGGGTTCCCATTTCTCCACATCCTCGCCAACATCTATTTCCTGGGTTGTTAATTTTAGCCACTCTGACCGGTGTGAAGTGGTATCTCAGTGTGGTTTTGATTTGTATTTCCCTGATGATGAGCAATGTTGAGCATCTTTTCACGTATCTGTTGGGCATCTGGATGTCTTCTTTGGAAAGTGTCTATTCATGTCGTCTGCCCATTTCTTCACCGGATTATTTGTTTTTCAGGTACTGAGTTTGGTAAACTCTTTATAGATTTTGGATACTAACTCTTTATCTGATATGTCTAGAAATTCTTGAAAACTTATTGGAAGCTCTGTGTATATGAGCATAGCTTATAGATTTGGGGTTTCACTTCAGTGTAATCAACCAGCTAGAGGGAATCACCAAATGTCCATATCTGGAGGGATAGAAAGGCTACAGATTTCTGTGGTGGAAGTTCTGAGATTAAACCAACGTGGGGCGGAGGGGGGGAGGGGGAGTCACAATTCTGGTTTTAGTATGATTCTTCCCTGCTCTTCGCTGTCCACAGACCCTCTCCAATGAATTTTCTCAGAATACCAGTGGTCTCCTTCATAAGGGGCACTGTTGCCTGTCTTTAAGGGATTGATGAGACTGGAGGTCCAACCTCTCTGTATACAAAGGTCATTTAATCCCCTATTTTTAGCCCTGTGGCTCACCTCTGCCTCACATAGAACCTTGGTGCATTCAAGTCCTAAGCCTCTCTGGGGAGCTTTGCAGGTCAACTGGCATTCTCCTATGCCCTCCTAACACTCTCTTCCATTCATTTTTTATCTTCCAAATATGTGTAGATTTCTCATTTGCTGAGACCTTCCTCCTCAATCTTTTTCCTTGACTTTGGGAAGGTACCCATTCTATACAACCCCTTTATGGATTCCTTTCATGTAACTTAGTGGTGATTCAGAAGGGAGAGATTATAAATGTGTATGGCTAATCTACCACATTTAACCAAAAATCTAGTCCTAAACTTTTTTTCAGGGCATGAAGAAAGAATCCTTTCAGGGCCTTTATCATCTACCACCTCAAATTAAAGCAGCTTAATTTGTGATGTTATTAGACATATATTCATTTCTCCTAAAAGATAAAAATGCATGAACTTTTATAGAGTACTTGCTACATCTCCAAGTTTCTAATGTTTCTTAAATTAATCATTATTGCTCCAAAGGGATGGCATTTACTCAATTTTATTAACATATAGACAACAGTTTTTTACAGGAAAAACTCAGGGCTTAAAAACCCTAATAACCTTGCTGTATATTATGAATCAAAAGTAAGTTTGTGAATTATCTTTTGTGTTTTAAACTCCTGGTTTGCCTAAAAGTTTTATTTCACTACTTCAAAACTTTTAAAAGATGGATTTTAATTTCATAATCAACATATATAAATGCTAAACAAGTTTTAAAAATTAGGTATTTAACCTTTAAAATTAAAGTAAAAATTAAAGGTTACAGCCATTTGCTATTTCCCAATTTTAGACATTGAGCCAGTATTGATCTTCAGCTCTGTTTAACTAAATAAATGTAGTCATCTTTTTTGGGGGGGATGCAATGTTTCTACTTTTTAAATTAATTAATTAATTTAGTTAGCATATAGTGCAATGATGATTTCGGGAGTAGAATCCAGTGATTCATCCCCTACATATAACACCCAGTGCTCATCCCAACAAGTGTCCTCCTTAATGCCCCTTGCCCATTTAGCCCATGCCCCCACCCACAACCCCTCTAGCAACCCTCAGTTTGTTCTCCATGTTTAAGAGTCTCTCATGTTTTGTCCCCCTCCCTGTTTTTGTATTATTTTTGTTTCCCTTCCCTATGTTCATCTGTTTTGTACCTTAAACTCCACATGAGTGAAATCATATGGTATCTGTCTTTCTCTGACTTATTATGGTTAGGTTAATACCCTCTAGTTCCATCCACCCAAACAAGTGGATCCTATGTTTCTATATAGTTCAACTACAAACTATAGATTTTACAGAAGAATGTTCTAAAACCTTAAATGTAATGAAATTAAATCTTGGAAGAAATCAAATTTTGAAAGTTAGACATTTCAGAGAAACAATCCTTTAAAAAACACATGCACTAATTTTTGAAATCTACATAATATCCATGGGAATAATAATTACCTTGGCTATATTCAAAAGCAGAAATTAAAATTTCAAAAGGAAAAACATCACTGCATTGTATTCTAACGGACAAAGACCCTGTGGACATTTGCATCAGTACAATTCCAACTAAAGAAGCTTTAAGTGCCTTAACTTTAGAGGCAAATTAATTTTTCTGCTTCCTTTGCTTTTTAGACTTTTCACCTTTAACATTATAGAATTAGAATTAGCATTAACTGGAGGCAATTACCAAACTATGAAAAACTCCCTTAGCAACAGAAATACATTCATTCGTTCACTTAGTCAACAAATTTTCAACATGTGCCTTTACGTGCCAGATACTCCACCTGAGCTAGGTATACAGCAATAAGTCAAAACATAGCTCTACTTGTTTCCGATTCTGTGTCTCCCTCTCTCTGCCCCTCCCCCGTTCATGCTGTGTCTCTCTCTGTCCCAAAAATAAATAAACATTGAAAAAAAAAATTAAAAAAAAAAAGAAAAAAAAAACATAGCTCTATCTTCAAAAAGTGTACACTATAGAATTAGACGATAAAGCCAACGTATGAGGGTTGCTCAGGAAAATGCCTCCTGAACTTCCCTTACCATTTTTTCTGTCCTAAAGGGAGAGAAGTCATTAATAAACTTAAGACCCCTGTTCTTGAGAGACACGAGAAAGCTACCACAATCCTCTGTACTTGTTTATGCAGAGGAAGAATAAAAAAACACATGCCATGCTTTTAGGATTTTTCTGCTTTATCCTACACATTCCACAGTATAGGATTTTTCTGCTTTATCCTACACTTTCCATAGTATAATACAGTAAGAGGAAACATGCACCAAGCTCTATTCTAAGCACTTTACATTTACTTACATTAACTTGTTTAACTCATTTAATCCTCAGAACTGTCCTGTGAGACAGGTACCTCTGATTACCCTTGCTTTACTGAGGAGGAGACCAGGCACAGAGATTCTACCCCAGTCATTTTCCTTCCAAACCACGACATATCCTGCCCCTCATTAACTGGTACAAAATGCATTCCAAATCAATGTAGGGAGAGGATCTTTTGAGATCAAGCGAGACTGCTTGCCTCTGGAAGGTTCAGTGGGATTAAGCTCTGGGAGATGTGAGTGAATTTCCTTAGTGGACGCCATCTCTACCCTAAGAACCCGGGAGAAAGATCGAAGTAGAGAAGCAGGACAGCCCTGCCCTAGTTGCCAGAAAGGTGCTCTGGAAATTCTCTGCCCAGCCCCTGCTACAGCCTCTCCACCCGCTGCCCCCAACATAACTGTGCAACCCCACCAAGGATCAGAACCACCTGACCAGTGGAGCTCCTCCTTTTAGGCAGAGGGACAAAAGTACTGGCATTGCTGCAATATTGTCGGACCATTAATGTATTCAACAGGAAAAAAAAGACAAGTGGAAACCCGATAACACATCTCCATCTTTTAGTGTGTTAAAATTTCCATCTTGTTGCCCGTGAGAGAATCAAATTACTTTATAGTCAGCCACAGAAGGAAGTCCCCCGATTTAAGGGCAGATGATGAACAACGAAACAACGACAAGGCAAGTACAGCACTACTGGAACATGCACGAAGGGCCGCTCGGTCAGATTTAGAACTCAAAGAAAGATTTCCAAAAGAAAATAATATCTGACCTGAGACCTAAGGATGTGTGAGACTCTGGAAAGACAGACAAGGGGCATAGCACAAGGGAGAATAAAGGTAAGCATAAGAGAAGACCCAGAAATAAGAGATAGCATGACAAAAACTTAGGAAAGTTCAAGAAAGCCAAAGGAGAGTGGAAGTGAAAAGAGGTAAAGGTAAGGCGAGACAGAAGCAGGAAAGGTAAGAACCCAGGCTGTGAAGATTATAACTTGTTAAGAGTGTGTATGTATTTTATAACGGTACCAGGAAGTCAGGAAACAGCTTTAAATAGGAGAAAAACAATACCATTTATGTTAAAACAGGAACAAAGTAACCAGACGGTTTCAGTGATGTGAGGGCTGAGGAGACACTGGGCAGAGAGAACGGAGTTTTTAAAAAAAAAAAAAAAAAAAAAAAGGCTGTTCCAGTAATTTAGATGAAGAGTGGATAAACTATCTGTAAAAGGCCAGACGGCATTATAGGCCTTGCGGACTCCACCATCTCTGTGGCAACTACTGACCTCAGCCACAATTGCACTACAGCTGACCAAGGCACAGACAATAAATATGTAAAACACAGAGGTCCGCAGTGCAGTGCTCCCACGGATTTGGCCTGCAGGCAGCAGCGTGCAGACAGAGGAGTGCAAACAGATCAGTCCAGGGAATTAGAAACATAAATTGGGAAAAGTATTCATCATCAAAAGTTTTAGAAGACAGAATCCAGAGGTCTTGGCAATCGAAAATGTGGGGTCAGTGGGAAGACGAAGCCACAGAAGAATTCAAACCCCAGCTTTGGCACTCTGGCTTCTCACAGGATGGAGAAGGCATGAGAAAGGACAGGACTGGGTCAAAGGAAGGAAGGTCACATTCTGCTCACACCCCACTTGCCAAGCTGGAAATCTGTGGGGCAGGGAAGGATTCTCCTCCCACAGGAAGGCACTGCAAGACCCATGACAATAGGTGGAGACATAACAATGTTCTTACAGGTAGGGAACTGAATAATTAGGAAAACAAAGATAAGATAATACACATTTAAGTCTAGTGAACTCCAAAGTTCATGCCTAAATGTTGATGAGATTTGAGGGGTTTTGCTACTGGACTGGTATAAATAAAAGACAATGGCATATTCATAACCATTCATATACCTCTATGTCTATCAAACTATCCATTTATCTCAAATGTATTACATATATACATCTATCTTATTACCCAAGGAAGTTCATTTTCTCTTTTTTGGACAGTAAATTCTTCTAAATTAAATCTTTACTGCAATACTTATATTATGAGGCTAATAACAAAAAAAATACCCTTCCTTACCCCTAATTCCTAATTCCTCATTATTCTTTCTTATTTCTAAATAAGATGTGTACAGCGCTTTCATCGACTTTAGGTACTATCCATTCATTTCTTACCATTGTAGATGAAGAGACAGCTTTCTTAGCCTGTAAAGCGAGAATAATACATCTACTTCTATAGGATTGCAGTAAGGAAAGATCAGGAGTGCATAGGTGGTGCTTAGGATAATGCCAGGCACATACTACATGCTAGGTATTAATGATTATTGTACCTCCGAACACACATACCCATGCCCTCGCAAACTATAGTTTCCCCCCAGATACAGTTTTACCCCAGTTTTAATTAAATCAGTGATTGATGTTTAGAGTGATGTGATTACATAAATATTGTTACCGGCTAAGCCAAGTAATCAATGATGACATCTCTTTTCTTAGAAATTTTGTTTGTCCTATAATTGTAACTGCCTCATTGTTTTTCTTTTTCCCCCTCCCTTAACTGAGGTATAATTGACAAAAATTGTATATATTTAAGGTGTACAATGTGACATTTCCATATACATTGACACTGTGAATCAAGCTAATTAACATATCCAATCACCTCACATAGTTGCCATTTTTTTTTTTTTTTTTGTATGCTAGGAATGCTTGATTTCCAATTCAAGTATATAATACAGCATTATTAACTATAGTCATCATACTGTATGTTAGCTCTCTGGAACTTATTTACCTTATGAGTAAAAGTTTGTACCTTCTGACCAACATCTCTCCATTTCCTCTATCTCTTAACACCTGGTGACTATTCTACTCTGTTTCTATGAGTCTAACTTGTTTACATTCCACGTGTGAGATTGTGCAGTATTTGCTTTCTGTGTTTGGCCTGTTTCACTTTGCATAATGCTCTTCAGGTTCATCCATGTTACTGCAAATGGCAGGATTTCCTTTTTTTTTTTTTTTTAAGATTGAGTAATATTCCATTATACACACACACACAAATACATAACACATTTTCCTTATTAATTCATCCATCAATGAACACTTAGGTTGTTTTCATAGCTTGGCTACTATGAATAATACCATGAACATGGGGGTGCAGAGATCTCTTCAAGATAATGATTTTATTTCCTTTGGACAAATACCCTGAAAAGGGATATCTGGATCAAATGGTAGTTCTATTTTTAATTTTTTGAAAAGCCTCCATAACGTTTTCCATAATGGCTATACCAATTTACATTCCCACCAACAGTACATAAAAGTTACCTATTCTCTACATTCTCACCAACACTTAACTATTTTTTGACTTTATTTTTTTTTAAGGTTACTTATTTATTTTGAGAGAGAGGGGGAGGGGCAGAGAGAGAGAGAGAGGGAGAGGGGGAGAGAATTCCACGCAGGCTTTGTACTATCAGCGCAGAACCCGGTGCAGGGCTTGAACTCATGAACCATGCATGAGATCATGACCTGAGCGAAAACCAAGAGTCGGATGCTTAACCGACTGAGCTACCCAGGCATCCCTTTTTTGACTTTCTGATAAGAGTCATCCTGGCAGGTAGGAGGTGATATCTCATTGTGGGTTTGATTTACATTTCCCTCATGACTCGTGATGCTAAACACCTTTTCATAAAGCCATTGGTAAATATATCTTCTTTGGAAAAATATCTGTTCAGGTCCTTTGTTTTTAATTGCATTACTTGTTTCTAACTATTGAGTTGTAGGAGTTCCTTGTATATTTTGAATATTAACCCCTTATCAGATATATGGTTTACAAATATTTTCTCCCATTCCACAGGTTGCCTTTATGCTTTGTTGATTGCTCCCTTTGCTAGACAAAAACATTTTAGTTTGATGTAGTCCTACTTGTTACTTTTGCTTTTGTTGCCTGTATTTTTGTTGTCAAATCCAAAAAACTCATTGCCAAGACCAATGTCAAGGAAGTTTTCCCCTGCTTTCTTCTAGAAGTTATAAAGACTTACATTTAGTCTTTAATTCATCTTGAGCTGATTTTTATGTATGGTATAAAATAAAGGTCCAATTGCATTCTTCTGCATTCTTCTGCATGGATATACCTATCCAGCATATCCAGCTGTTTTCCCAGCATCATTATTGAAGAGACTCCTTTTCCCATTGTATGTTTTTAGCACCTTAGCCAAAGATTAGCTGACTATGTACACATGGTTTTATTTCTGAGGTCTCTCTTTTGTCCCATTTATTCAGGTGTCTTCTATGCCAGTATCATAGTGTTTTGATTACTACAGCTTTGTAATAAAACTTGAAATCAGAAAGTGTGATGCCTCCAGCTTTGCTCTTAATTAATGCCTGTTTTAGCTATTTGGAGTTCCATATGAATCTTAGGCTTGTTTTTTCTCCATCTGCAAAAAACGCCATGAGAATTTTGATAGATTGTTTTTAATTGGTAGATCCCTTTGGGTAATACGGACATTTTAACAATATTAATTCTTCCAATCCATGAACATGAGATATCTTTCCATTTATTTGTGTCTTCTTCAGTGTCTTTCATCAATGTTTCATAGTTTTCAGTGTATAGATCTGTCACCTCTATGGTTAAATGTATTCCTAAATATTTTATTCTTTTGATGCTATTGTAAATGGAATTGTTTTCTTAATTTCTTTTTGAATACTTCATTGTTAATTTATAAAATTTTTCATTTTCATTGTTTCATTTCATTTGATTTCTTCTTTGACCTATCAGTTGATCAAGAGTACACTGTTTAATTTCCACATATTTGTGAATCTTCTAGTTTTCCTCCTGTTACTGATTTCTAATTTAATACCACTGTGGTCAGAAAAGGTACCTGAAATATATTCAATCTTCTTAAATTTGTTAAGACTTGTTTTATGACTTTGTTTTAAGACTTGTTTTAAGACTTGTTGTATGATCTATCCTGGGGAAGTTTCCATGTGTGCTTGAAGAGAATGTGCACTGCTGCTGCTGTTGGACAGAATGTTCTTTCGATGTCTATTAGTTCTATACGGTCTATTCAAGTCCAATGTTTCCTTGATGATTTTTCTCTCTGGATGATATATCCATTGCTGAAAGTAGGGTACTGAAGCTCCCAATGATTACTGTATCATTGTCTATTTCTCCCTTTGTCTATTTATATTTGCTTTATATATATGGGTGCTCCTACATTGGGTGCATCAATATTTACAAATGGTATATTCTCATTGTGTTTTTTTCTTGTTGTGATTGTTCTTAGTATAGAGAAATGCAACAGATTTCTATGTATTGATTTTGTATCCTGCAACTTTATTGAATTCATTTATTATCATTGTCTTTGGTGGAATCTTTAGGGTTTTCTAAATATGATATAATATCATCAGCAAAAAGTAACAGTTTTACTTCTTCCTTTCTGATTTGGATGCCTTGTATTTCTTTTTCTTGCCTAATTGTTCCGGCTGGGACTTCCAATACTATGTTGAGTAAAAGTGAAAAAAATGGGCATCCGGTCTTGTTCCTGGTCTTAGAGGAAAAGCTTCCAGCTCTTCACCATTGAGAATAATGTGAGCTGTGGGCTGTGAGATCTTGCCTTTTGCAACAACACGGATGGACCTTAGGGCATTATGCTAAGTGAAATAAGTCAGAGAAAGACAAATAACTTCTGATCTATCTTAAATGTGGAATCTAAAGAAAACAAAACACGGGCGCCTGGGTGGCTCAGTTGGTTAAGCGTCCGACTTCAGCTCAGGTCATGATCTCACTGCTTGTGAGTTCAAGCCCCACGTCAAGCTCTGTGCTGACAGCTCAGAGCCTGGAGGCTGCTTTAGATTCTGTCTCCCTTTCTGGCCATCCCTGGTTTGCACTCTCTCAAAAATAATTAAACATTTTTTTTTATTTTTTTAATAAAAATAAGTAAATACAAATAAATAAATAAACAAAACAATACAAACAAACCAAGCTCATAGATACACAAAACAGATTGGTGGTTGCAAGAGCTGGGGGTAAGGGTGGGAGAAATGGGTTAACTGGATTTTTCTATTAGTTTAAATAAATGGAATAAAAATTAAAGGTAATGAGGAAACACTGGCCTCAAAAGACACATTAGATACGATGGACTTAACAGATATGTGCAGGACATCCCATCCACAAGCAACAGAATATACATTATCCAGTGTACATAAAAAATTCTCCAGGATAGATCATATTAGGCCACAAGTCTAATAAAATTTAAGAAGAATGAAATTATGTATGTGGAGATTAAACAACGTGCTAATAACCAATGAGTCAAAGAAGAAGTCAAAAGAGATATTTAAAACTTTGAGAACAAATGAAAATAAAAATACAACATACCAAAACTTAGGGGATGAAACAAAAGCAATCCTAAGAGGGAAGTTCATAGTAATAAATGCCAACCTACATTAGTAAAGAACCCTAACAAATTAACAACACTTTAACTTTACATCTCAAGAAACTAGAAAAGAGGAACAAGCAAGCTCAAAGTCAGTAGAAGGAAACCAGCAAATATCAGAGCAGAAATAAATGAAATAGAGACTAAAAAGATAATAGAGAAGACCAATAAACCCAGAGCTAGTTTCTTTTAAAAGATAAACAAAATAAACCTTCAGCTAAGCTAGACTTACCAAGGTGGGGGCAGGGGTGAGAGGATTCAAACAGAACCAGAAATGAAAGAGGAGATGTTACAACAGATACCATAAGAAAAAAGGATCAAAAAAAACAAAAAACAAAAAAAACCAAAAAACTAACATGAACAATTATATACCAACAAATTGGGCAGCCTAAAAGGATAAACTCCTAGAAACACAACCTCCCAAAACTGAATCAGGAAGAAATAGAAAATTTGAACAGACTGATTAATAGTAAGGAGACTGAGTCAGTAATCAAAATCTTCCCAGTCAAAAAAAATTCCTGTAGGGGCACCGGGGTGGCTTGGTCAGTTGAGCATCCGACTCTTGGTTTCGGCTCAAGTCATGATCTCACAGTTCATGAGTTCAAGCCGCATATCAGGCTCTACGCTGATGGCATGGAGCCTGCTTGGGATTCTCTCTCTCTCCCTCTCTCTGCCCTTCCCCTACTCATGCTCTCTCTCTCTCAAAATAAATAAACTTAAAAAATATTATACATTAAAAAAAAATTCCTGTACCAGATGGCTTCACTAGTAAATTCTACCTAC